GGATTTGTCTTTGTTGTATCTGAATTTCGTTTCATCTATGATTATGGACTTTCATTCTTTTCTTCATCTTTTTGGTATTTCTGCTAAATCATTACTCAACAGATAGTCTATAACTGTTTTCATCATATAACATTATAGAATCTATTTACTTAATCTATCTTTAAGTGGTTTGTTTTCAAGAATGCCTTTTATTCATCTTAGAATATGTACTTAAAGAGTAGTCAGTTAAGTATATTAGTGGATGGGTTGTATGAAGGATTTGCCAGGACATGTGTTGGGTGATTTTGTATCATATACTCATGGAGAACCTGAATATGTGAAAATAAAACATAGTGAAGCATTGAGGAGAATACAAAACAAGTATAAGGTTTCAAGACTTGGTCCTAAAATGACAAGACATTGAAATCAAGAAAAAGGATATACAAAATTGAATACTATTATGAGAGAGGGAGTGTCATTTAGTTTGAAAAGTATAGAAGACATAATAACAGAAGAAGAAGAAAAATTACTCTCTTCTATTTATGAAGAAGTAGAAGATAATTTAAATTATCGAATTAAACTTGATATTGAAGTTCCATTGGTGGCAAAACTCTCAGAAAAGGGATATGGAAAAATGAATGTAGCTATAGAGAGATTTACTTTATGAATGACTTTGATGAATATGTAGATGAAGATAATATAGGTGAAGTATTACATAGGAGACCAAGATAAAGATAGTATAATAGAATACAAGCTTTTGATTTTAAGTTAACAGTTATTGAAGACATTTACTACTAACATATGTTTAATAACATATATAAGAATTATGGATGTGAAGGTTGGATTATTAAAGGTGAGGGGTTATGCTATATTGTTGTCTATTGTGTTGTTTCCTTTTTAAATGTTGTTCTTTGCTTGGTTTGTTTTTTGTTTGTTGCTTGGTTGTTTTGTTTTAGGTATGAAATGGATGAGGTGATGATGTACTGACTGCTATTATTCTTGAGGAATGAATAAGGCAATAGATGGTTAGTAGTGATGATTTTGTGGAATGAATGAGATAGTTATGTATTCACTGTAATGATTTTGAACAATGAATGAGGTGCCAGATGGTTAGTAGTTATGATTTTGAAAAACGAATGAGGTTATATGTGGTAGTCTGTTGTGATTTTGTGAATAATTTTTGAGTTTTTATATTGCTATAATTTGAATTTAGAAAACTTTGAAGTAACATTTTTTACATTTTTTGGGGGAGCGCAGCCCCCCCCGCATGGCGCTGTAATTGCTTTGGTGTTCAGACACTAACCGCTACGGAGTCCGCTACGGTTCTTCCTTTACGATGCATTTGAGAAGGATTCCGTGCTACGAGGGGTTGTAAGAAGGGTTCCATGAAGTAGTAGTAGTAGTAGTAGTAGTTGTTGTTGTTGTTGTTGTTGTGCCCGCCCCACCCCGGCCCCCCGGGCCCCAGCCAGGGTAGAGGTCGTGTGCCCCCCCCTGCCACACAAAAATTAGTACATCTTTCAGGGGGCGGCCTCCAATGGCAAATGCTTGGCGTTTCGTGTCCTACCTCTTTGGGACCCAGTGGCTGTAGTGTGCGGATTGATGATACAAAGAAGGGACAGTCCATATGGACCTGAGGGCTGCTGACGATGCAGAGGCAGAGGAGGTCGATGACCGCCTTCTGGAGATTGTGACCGGTGCCAAATATGCCGGCAACGAATGACAGGAAATCGACAACGTCATTTCAGGTCTTCTTAGATGGCAATCTGATGGAGTCGAAGGTGAGAACACACAGAAAACCATTTCTCTATCATCTGGCGAGAGCGAGTTCTTCGCCATGGTTGCAGGCTGCTCAGAAGGGATGTTGGTTCGACATGCCTGGAACCAGATCACAGGAGGCAACTGCAAGACAAACGCAGCTTAGCAGCAAGAGGGATGACTCAGCGGCAAGGCATTGGGAGAGTGAGACATCTCGATGCCTCGCTGTTGTGGATTCAACAGAAAGAGAAGATCATCACAGTGGCCGCTATATATTCCCTCAAAGCTCAACAGCGCAGATATTGGCACGAAGAATTTGGCAAAGAAGCGCTTGAGAGGCTTGCCCTACATGATCCACATACATGATCCACATGGTTGACGCTGTGGTGACCGTGTGGGAGAAGAGGAATACCGTGAGATCAAGCACAACTACCAGCTCAAGCAGGGCATGAAGCGACTTGGGAAAGGTCGAGACTTGAGGATTGGCCTTTTTCTCCTCTTAGCTAACATTGAGAGGACGACGGCCACGAGCACTGAGAATACAGCAGGGAGCTGGGTTGGACTTTGATGTGCATGTGCGGCATCATTGGGGCCTTGAGTCTATGCAGGTGGCTGCGGGACTATGTGCTTGAGGTCATCGGTGGCACGAAGGACTTTCTGCTGAAGTCGATTGCCGCCATGATCCAGGAGAAGAAGATCAACATGATCGTGAAAGTGTCCAGTGAGGACACAGAAACCCAGACCCAGGCAACATACATGGGTTGATTACCACATCATTGGCGAGTACGAAGCAGAGCTTCTGAAGTGCCAAGATGACTGTTTTTCAAAGGACCCATATTGAAGAGCTCGAGGAAAAGTTGAAAACCTTAGGCGAGCGTGCGCAGGACTTTTGCACGCAAACCAGAATCTCAGATCGAGAGGCCATTAAGTGGCAGCAAAGGTTTGCGCATTTGAGGATGACACCTCGTGTAGATACTGGGAGCATGGATTTGAATTGAGCATGCGCTCATTTTGCGCAGGTGGCACAGGTGAAGGAGCAGTGTCAGATTCTAGCTCTCGGACAGTCACCTGTGCAAGGATGACACGCACATGAGAAGTGCACCGCTCGACGGGCATTTAGGCCCAATCCCCCAGGTGAAAGGCTGCCCCCGCGCCAGACCCCGTTTTGTCACAGTTTTGTCACAAAGCACACACCTGTTCACAAAAAATGCCCTTGACGCCGCTTCCAGTCTGTAGTTGACATGCTGCGATGTCTTGCCATCATGTCCAGCACAAAGGATCGCATCCAACAACTTATGGCCAACTTTGCAAATTTTACTAAAGGTCTTGGTTTCTTGTTATTTTCTGGAGTAATTATTCTGGAGTGCTCAGGGTTTTCCAGTTTTTTCTGCCTGGCCCAAACCATTTAGTAGACCAGAGTGAATGCACTGGTTTGTCTACTTAGAGAATGGTTCATCCAGGTTTTGGTTGAAACGTCAACGGGAATTTAAAGAAGAATTCTTTGGTCCGAACCTTGTTACCGTTGGCATGTTGATTTTAGGTTTGTGTGGCTAATAATTGAGACAGAAACGTCCCCCGCTTGAAAAATGCAACGCGCCCGGATAAATTAGTTTGCCGTTTTGAATTTTGAGGACGGTGTGTGATTTTCACCAAGTCTCACAACGAACTGCTCGCCACGCCTTCAGCGCCACAGCTCACTTGTACTTCGGTGATGTTGAAGTGTTCGATGATTTCTCAATTGTCGTCCATCCCAACTTCACTTTTGAGGATTTTGAGGTAGCTGGCTGAGCACAAAAGGGGCGTTTTCGTTTGGTTGTCTGTTTCTATCCCATATACATATATGTTGCGTACGTGGTTTGTGGGTTCCGCCTTGCTTTGGCGGAATAAGTGGCGGAGTATATTAGACCTATCTGGAGAAACTACGTAGCGGTTCTTGCACAAAAGCTCCGGGTGGTCTCAGTGGAATGCCCTCCCGGTGGAGCTGGCGTGGGCGTGTGTTTGCACCTATGTATGTTTCTGGTGCGTTCAAGTAAAACGCGGCTGGAAACGCAGATTGGTCTCCACAAACTTTTGCCCCGGTTGCCCTTGGCCTCAATGCAGGTTCCCCGGTGTTTTGGCCAAAGAATCGTTTTAACGGACAGGTTGGGTTTTGTGAGGCAGATCCGGTTAGGGGCAAGTTGGACACGGCTCGAACAAAGCTGAAAAACAACGTGCGGAGGTGAAAAGTATTCAATAAAGTTGTTTGCAGCCCAAATTGAAATTCATGCACAAATAGCCTAGCCATAGTAATGCTGCAAAAGATGCAGCCAATTGTGACAAAGGTCGATTTTAAGGCCGCCGCTTGCCCCCATTCCGCACACCTGCACTCTGGGGGAGGCCCCCTCGAACGGACTGCGGCCCGCGTCTGTCTGTCGTGAAGCTGGCGCCCGGGTCGCAGCCCACACACTGCTCTCCGAGTTGACCCTCACGGGCGTGGACCGCCTGGATGGGCGGCCCGTCGAGGTCATAGAGCCCAGGTTGCTGTTGATACCACACTTGTCTCTCCTTTAGCCGCAGCCGGGCAGCCCTGTCGCAGAGCCGATACTTACCGGGCAGCAGCCTTAATTGCAAGACATCCCCCGGAACTTCCAGCCGGGCAGGTGCCGCATCGCCGTTTTTGGCATCAAGGTTGGTGGCCGATGGAGTTCGGAAGCCGCCTCCATTCTCCGTGTTCTTGCCCAGGCCCGTGCCCGCCAAGCGACAGGCCACCGCACGGGCGCTTGTCAGCCGCTGGTCAGCTTTCCTGACCCATGCTGCCATGCACCCATTTGCCGCCAGCCTGCTTAACCAGGACGCAGCCCAGCACCACCTCGACGGGCTCCTCCCCCCTCTTGCCGAGCTCCTGGCTGAAGGTCTCCTCCCAGGCCCCCTCCACAGCCTGCGGGGGTGAGGCTGTCCCACTGGCCTGGACTTGGCCCCCACAGCACATCCGGGGGACGCCGTTGTACACATGGCGGACGGACACTGCGAAAAAAGGTAGTGCAAAAAAGAATAATGACAACTGCACTTGTTCCTTTTGAAATTTAATCCAAAGATCCGCAGAGTTAATTTCCGAAATGGGTTGGGAATGTGAGGTTGCGAATTCCTTTTCCGGCCTTGTTATTTTCACGTGTTCGTCCCATCTCGTCGCTGACACCGCAGCTTCTTGAGTCAACCGATATGGATGGTTTGAGGCAGATGGCGGTGGCATCCCAGATGTGAGGTAAACGGCCGATTCATTTGGTCACATGCCCCGCCCGGCAGTTGCATTTTCATCCAATGCTTGCCAGGTGTCCGAATCGTCCTTGATCAGAGTTGAGTACGATGAATGCGTGGAGGTGTGCGGGGTTGGCCGGTGGCATCCCATTCTGCCGAGCGAGAGTCGCGAAATCCTCCGCCAGAGAGACGCTAACATCAAAGATTTCCAAGTGACAACAAGGGGAGTGGCATACCAGATCAACTTGGAAAGCATGTTGCGAACCGAGTGCCACTCTGGCAAAAGTTGGGCCATCCGCTTCGCTGACATTGAGCATGTGGAAGTTCCCGCTGGTGGAGGAATTGAACGTTTCCGACGTGCATTTTTGCGAATGGTGCATGCTGACAAGTGGTATGAACCCTATTCTTCCGCGCCGTATCTTACCCAAGATTTGTTATTCCAACATTGGCCTGGCAACGTGGAGGACGAACAATTGCTGCACACAACTGTCGAGGAGGTGTGGGCATTCCAGACAATGTTTGATATGTGACATGTGGCAAGAGTTGATTCATGTTGGTTCTGATGTTTGTGCCACTTTTGCGATAATAAAGCAATCACGTCAAGTTGTTGCTTTAGGTTTTCCAGGGGATGACCATGACGAACCTCAGGCATGTTGGCTGCATTATCTAGTGGGAAATTTGTTTGTCAGGGTTGGATTGGGGCTTGTCACCCAGGTATGTGAACATGGCAGAATGGCTCCACTATTGGATGCTCCTTCAGGATGATCCTGCTAGCACAGCAGTGGCCAGCACAAATGGCCGGCTGCAGTTGCTTTTGCAATACGACCCAAAGGCATCTCAAAGCGTTTGAATTGCCGATGCTATCCTCCCAGTAGCCACCGCCATAGGCATCATTTGCATGTTTTCCTTGGATTTTTACGCTATGATGTGTTGCAATGTTTTGCTTTGTTGTTGTTGTTGCTGTTGTTGTTGGAGTTAGTATAGCAATAGGTCACAATCGGTATCCTGTTGAACCATGACATGAAGTGAATCTTGCATGTGGCATCCACGTGGTGGACATAATTGTGTCGCATACAAAGCACACACAAACATGCTACGGTACCAACTTCCAACCAAACTGTTTAGATCCAGGTCTTGGAGAGATTGCAATTGCTCTTTGAAGCTGCCGCGGAGCCTTCTCCGGCTACAGGTCAGCTGTCCATGTCACATCAAACCTTGCTTCAGGCTGGTGTTGTCCTGGGCCGGTCAAGGCTTCAAGCGGCTCGGGGACATGGCCAACAATGGAGGGCAATTGGGTGCTGAAGAGCGTTCTGTAAACAATTGATTTGGTTCGTGCTTTGCAGCGCTTTGCAAGTCTTCAAGGGCTGATTAGGAACCTCTACATAAAAGAGTTTGGATTTCGATGGGCCATGACATGCCGTCATGCTGTCGACATGGGGGCCAAGTGCTAAGCTGCTAATGGGATAATTACTGCTGAACAATGAGAGGACGCAGGGGTGATCGTGGGTAAGAATTCGGACTACGTTCAATTCTATAAGAAAACTAGAGCTTTCCTTTTGAGTCTCTTTTTTCTGCATATTCGATCATTTTGGTTATTGGCGAGTTGCAAATGGAAATCAGATGCGAGGTGTGCCAATCGCTCGTGCTGCAGCCAGATCCGTTGCTAGAGCAGGAATTCGCAAAGGAGGCTTTGGAACGACATGTGAACGGCAAATTGGGCATGCTACAGCATTTTTCCGATATTGTCCCTGTGAAAACGAAATAACTATTTATGTAAAGTCATATACGTAAGTCTCGTGAAACGGATGTTTGCAGCTTTGGTGCTAAGGCAACTGTGTGTTTGAAGAAGATGACCAACTTCTTTACCACGATTTCTTGAGCATCATGCTGGGGCGACAGCGGCATAGAGTTTATTTATGGTGCCTTGCGTGCGCGCAAGAAAAACATGTGCACGCTGGGCCCGCCTGCAAATGAATATACCCACCAAAAAATTGTTGCGTTGGCTGGGCCTGAGTTTTTTTTCGGTTCTGTCTTGCTCATTTTTCAGGTGACACTCAGGACATGACAGACAGACAATCAGTTTTTCAGCACGTTCCACTACAAATGCAAATTGACAGGATGTACGACATCAGCTATGGAAAGGCAAAATCTTGGTCCTGGCTATTGGGCAGGCACTTCACGGCATTTTGGCACACCGCAGTTGTGGTGGAATTCGCGGCAACTTAGCTGATGGGCAGATTGGAATGTTTGTTCGATTAACATTGGTTAACCAACTATAGTAGCCTTTCGTTCACCTCATTAGACGACTTTGGTATGGTTGGAGTGATTCTTGGCGCACCCGGCGTGCCCTCTCCCTTGCCTTGCATGCAGAGGAGTCTCCTATGGAATTCTGGTACGGGGGAAAGCTGTTTGTCTCAGATGCTGGCACTACTCCGTTTGGCGACCCTGTGGAGAAGAGATTCATGGGAAGCCTGGCCAGACATCAGGAGAGGGACTTTTGGAAGGGGCAATCTAGGACCAGCACTGAACAGCTGATCTTGGCCAATGCGTGGATGGATCAACGAAAAAGTGGTTGGACCCGAGCCCGCAATACTACCTATGTTTAAAGCCCCTGGTGGTAAGATGCAAGAAGAGAAACACTTGTCACTTGTTTTTTTAAATCATAGGCGTCAAAATACGAAAAATTATCCCGGCAAGAGACCCCAAACAGTATGTGTGTGTGAGGTCTGTAAGCAGAAAGTCTAGAGATCTAGACGCATTGGGGTCCGGTGATGGTGGTGATGAAGTGAAGGTGGGCGTGAGTGAGTGTGGGTGAGAGGGAGAGTGCGAGTGAGAGTGAGTGTGGGTGAGAGTGAGTATGAGTGTGAGTGTGAGTGTTAGTGTTAGTGAGCGTGAGTGAGAGTGAAGGTGTGTGCCAGCGAGTGTGGGTGAGAGTGAGTGTGAGTGAGAGTGGGAGA